GTTTCTGAATGAACCTCAGCAGGCATGAAATACTTACTTACTTTATTTATACCCCACACTTCTCACCCCAAAGGGGACTCAGAAATAATTTTGCCTGCAGTTCTTGCCAAAGGCACTCATTAAACAGTAGAGCATTGATAAGATTTTGAACTGTTACACAAAAAAGCATGACTGAAATGCATCAGTAGTTTCCACCAAAATATGAAATGAATACAAAATATGCCAGAGTAAAATTGGAATTTAAAAGGCAGGTGTGCCAATTTTCAGGACTCCTTAATTTATTGCACCTGTGACAATTTTTATCTGCTTATTTTAAGATTTGCCACTGTTGTAGATCTCATCCCTTGGATCATGAATAGTAAGATTTCAAGATGTTAGTTCAAGAGGTGTAATTTAAAAATCTGATGTTCATAATAGCAGTTTGCGAGGAAGTGCTCCCTCCAACTATTAAATGAGAATATTCATCAGTGTATATAAACAGTGTAAATAACAATATATATTTAGCCAATTAGCTTTTTTAAAATGCAAGAACACTTTCAATAGGAAAATCCATGGCACTGTTCTTCTCAAAGTTGGATGGTAGTTTAAGATTATTCATATGCACTTAGGAATCATTTTTAAAAGAACGATAGATGTGCTTCTTGGTAGTGCGTTATTTGTAACCTAAAGAGGTACCAGCACTCTTTGTAGCTACTTTATTATATACATGAAATGCTAAAATACTGCCCAACTTTAAGAAGGGCAGCACCATGAATGTCCCTGTCAAATGTGCCCTTGCATTAAAAACAACAAACATAATTGACTTAGAAATATATTAAACTACCTGTTTGAACATTCGGCATAATCATCATAATTTGGGAGCTTTCCATTTCCTCTGTGCAATACTTGAACCACTCACATTACTAAAATACATTCAGGAACACCAACTATGAATCACTAAACAATTAGGAAGAAAACTCTGCATTGTTATAAGGTTTTTATGTTCCAGATTAACTGCCCTTCGTTAGACATAATATGACAAAAGTGAGAAATGAGCAAAATAAAACCAGGAGTGGCTTTCATTACTTTCCACGAGAGCCAATAGAAATTATCAATTCTGTCAAATATAGGTAGTGCATTTCACAATGCCTTCATCTGTTATCTGAATAATTTTGCAGGAGAAAATGCATCCTGTATTGTTCATTTCCCCAATGTATTCTCAGTCACAATGTATACCTTTATAGTGTTCTAAATATAAGCTAGGATTTAGATGCAGATCTAATTGACAAAACAGAGGCATTGTGTAGTATTATGTTAAATTCTCAGTTCACCAGGATGGAATCTTTTCAAAATGCACATAGAATTAAACTTACAATTTAGGCATTCTGTGGTATTACCACCTCAATGTTTGTCATATATACTTTATTTGTCCAAAACTAACCTTCCCTCGCTAAAATTAGAGTGCACATTAGATTTGCATGACATGATAATATTAATGTTGAGCCAAAGCAAAAAGGGGAAGCTGCTGCAGGAGCACCTGGAGCTTCCAATTGGGGGGTGCCATCTGTAATTTAATTGCCATGACTCGATGCTGTGCAATCCTTGAATTTGTAGTTTGGTGAAGCATCAGCATTCCTTGTTGTTTTACAGCATAAATGCACCCCAATATTTTCCTTTCTATCGCTCGAAGCGTAGGTGTTTACATATTAGCTAACACATTCGTTCTTAAAGACAGAATTCTAAGCAGGTAACAACTGTTATGCACACCTTTTTTGGACAAATGATAAAAAGTGCACTTTTGCCACTGCACATTATATTCAACAGCAAATACCTTTTTTTGGTTTAAAGGTGTTTTAAAAATGAGGTGCGCATTAGATTCAATGGTGCATTAAACTCAATGACATACGGGTATATTTAAATAAACATGAATCCAAGAGGACAGAATTGTCCCTAGAACTCTATTACTTTTGCCCTTGGGGTACACATATATGCCTTATAATATAATGTATTGGGGAAACATCCCAGTATATCTTTCTGTGAACTACAGTACAGCTCTCGTGATTGATTACATGACCCTGTTTGGGGAAACAGGGTATATTTATATGGGAGCATTGGGATTCACATTCTGTAGTTATGGTATGAATAAATACCCCAGGTAAAGTAATTTTTTAAGAAATCCTAGTACACCAAAATTAAGAAGGATGTACACTTCTACATTAGGTTTCTTAACCAGTTTTCTTCAGTATAACAGCCTTAAACTCTATGATGTATTTCTGTTAGAAGCATTTTTTGATATATACATTTTTAAGATAAAGACAAGTTCAGTCATCCCTACTGAGATGTTGTTAGTTTTCATTTGTTAATTTTAATTAATATTTTCAAGAATAACAACAATTACCACTATAGGATTGCACAAGTCCATTTGTTTCTGATGCTGACATAATAATACAAAAATGATTTGTGTGCAGTATGAAAGGGGATTTACATGTGGGGTGATTTAAGGAAGAGCAGAGCATCATAAAAATATAAATTGAATACCAGCCCAAATAACACATGCTGGTTAAAAGGGCACAAATCTAAAAGTAGCAGTAGCTTAAATAATGCATTGCCTGGCCCAGAACATAAATAACAAAGCCAATGAATAATAATATAATGATTATATTCTGGAATTTCTTTGCAACTGGAATGCAGGGACGAGTTTTTGCCATCAGAAAAAGTTTAGAAAGACCCCTCTTCTACTTGCCATCCCTATAACTCTTCAGGTATGGGATATAAAGAAGGGCTTCCAATGAGAACTGCATCCACCAGCCAGGTTTGTATGGAAGCAAGTGCTCTTGAGTGCCTTATTTCCAGGGAACCTGACAAATTGTGGATTGGACCCAACACTTTTTATTGTGCCCCGAAAGGAGATTGTTTGGCAAAGGTGGGCCGACAGTGATCTGTAGGAAAAAAATGGCACATAACTAACTATGGCACAAATACTTTGAAATACCCAATTTTGTGTTACCTTGAGCAATGTGCACAGTTTGAACTGCCACCTTTTAACAAAGGAACTGTGCAACTGATAAAAGAGAGAGTGAGAGGGCACAAAATCATTAAGGTTAAAGATAAGCTACTTTAGAAGGAGAGAATTAAACTGGGATTTTTCACTTTAGATGAAGAACAAAAGATATGATACCGGAAAGATAAAAAGATTCTGTATCATCTGGAGAAGATGAATAGGAAACCTCAGTTCAGTAGTTAGTGGGTGCATAGTGACTTTATCAAGTTCACCACACATGGTGGTCTCTGAACATTAATGCAAAACATTGGGCCAGAAAAGAACAGAATGCTACTTCATTCAAATTCTTCTTAAGATCCCAGCTTTAATGTTGAATGGCTATAAATTAATTACAGTTGGCATGCCAACAGTTCTACTACTTTTTGTGACCTTTTTTGGAATGCTAAAAAAAATCCAGAAGAGACTTTTCAAACACTTAGGAAGAGCTCATAAAAAGAAGCAGGGACAAAGAGGTCAGGCACAAGCATGTTGTAATTCTATTTCTTTTCCAAGCACAAAAGCACTGGGCGGAAATTGGGAACCACGGAGCACTTATTCGTTATTAGATCTTCCCTTAACTGCAAATTATAATCTATCTGAACATGATTGAGGGCAATTTTTTGTTGGCGAACATGGGGCTTGTCTGTCCCTTTCCCCAACTGTATTAGAAAGTAAAGGACATTACACATCCCGTCGTATTTCCAACCATCTTCACTAATGTCACAAATAAAATCTCTGCAGTAATAATAACGGAATTCCAAAATGTTGCAGGCACAATCTGAGGTAAAATTTGTAATTGTTTTGACCCCATACACATGTTCCACGAGTAGCCCCATACAGATGTTCTATGACTTTGTATGCTGTTTTAAACGTGGGTCAAATGATGTTCACCAAGTTTGGAGAGACAGGTTAAGCACTCTTATAAAGAACTGGTGTAAAAACTTATTTATTTTTCATAAAAAATTACAGTAATGATAGCAGAAATTACCTAAATGTGATATGTCCGTTTTGTAGAGCTATAGAATTGCATCAGGAGTTCGCTCCTAACAGAGAGAACATTTCCTGCGTGGAGATCCCCATTAGGCTACTTCAGCAGCATGAAGATGGGAAGATGACTTTCACTGGATACCATGTTTTTTCTGGATGTAAAATTACAATAAAGTTATTATTCTGTTATTCTGTTCTTCAACCACCAAGCAGCTGGGGAGTGGCATAAGAGACCTCAAGGAAATGGGATTTTTGATCAAACCTCCCCCTCCTCCATTTTTCTAGTAGAAAACCTCCACTGAATTAAAAAAAAATCCATATTCAGAAGTAGATCTGCTGATTCCATGATCTGATTCTATTCATGGAAGACAAGGTTCAGGTTCAAACCATAATAGTGTAAATTAGAATAATGCATATGTACATACACAAAAAGAGAATTTGTCATTTTTTAGAGCCATGAAATCTTGATTAGTAAGGAGCCATGGTGGTGCAATGGGTTACACTCTTGTGCTGGCTGAACTGCTGATCTGAAGGTCAGCGGTTCGAATCCACAAGACGGGATGAACTCCTGTCTGTCAGCTCCAGCTTCTCATGCGGGACATGAGAGAAACCTCCGACAGAATGATAACACATCCAGGCATCCCTTGGCCAATGCCTCTGCAGACGGCCAATTTTCTCACACCAGAAGTGACTTGTAGTTTCTCAAGTTGCTTCTGAAACTATTTTTTTTAAAGCTTGATTTGTACCCTCTATTGTACTAAGCAATTTCTTACATGTTGAGCATCAGACATCTATTCTAAAATGCAAATTAGCATACAAATTAATTTTTATCTCATTATAAATTTAGATCATAATCACAAGTGGTGTTATCTATTTGAGAGGGAAGCACTGTTAGGTGTACCCAATTAGAGCTTTAGAGTTTATAGTACGAAACTGATTATTTACTTTCATTCAACCTGATTGCAACTTGCTCGCTTGTCACTTTCCTTTCTAGGCTTGAGGAGTTCATATGCCAGTCAGCACAGTCAGCTTGGACAAGAGCTGCGTTCAGCTGTCTCTCCCGATCTACACATCACTCCCATATATGAAGGTAGAACCTATTATAGTCCAGTGTACCATAGCCCTACTCATGGAACAGCTGATGTGCACCAAGGATCCCAGACAGCATTATATCGAACTGGCTCAGGTAGGCATTAAACTAATATTAATTGTAAAACTAAAGTGTGCTCACTGATGTAGAAATGAACTGCCATAAGTCATGGATCTTGCAAGACTGTATTTATCTAACTCTGCCTATTTCCTAAAAGAGTACAGGAATTTTAAAATGTTATATTTTGTCTGCTAAAATACTATCTCAGTTTATTTACCTATTCAATCTCTGTTGAAAGTTAGTCTGGTTTTAAATATTATTTAAATATTATTAGCTAACTGTTTATTTACCGCATATAAGATGACTGGGTGTATAAGACGACCCCAACTTTTCCAGTTAAAATATCTTTATATTTTAACTGGAAAAGTTGGGAGTCGTCTTATACACCCAGTCATCTTATATGCGGTAAATAAACAGTTAGCTAATAATATTTAAATAATATTGGGATATACTCGCCGTATAAGACTACCCCTTTTCCAACACACACCAAATAAATTTTTTAAAAGCATCAGATTTGATTTCAATATGTTAATTTTCCTATTACTGTACCTCCTTCTCTGCCTCTCATATCTCGCACATGTGCACCTGCACCACTTCACTGCAGTCTTCAGGAGCGAGATCTGAGAGGCAGAGGAGGAGGTACAATAATAGGATACAAGGGCGGGCCAGACAGGTAAAAGAGTTGTGTTTTTCTGGGCCCAGAGCCACTCTATCTCTTTTTTCAATACCCTGGGCGCCCCAGACGCCTGCAGCTTGCTCTGCCCTTCACTTACACCTTCCTGGTAAGGCACCCTTTCACCTCACCATCGGGACCGCATTAAGTCCACGAATCCTGGTGAATGGATTTTCTTCTACCATACTTGTACAGGGTCACCCTTAATGCTTTCATACAGTCGCTGCATATGGCAGGGACGTGGCTACTGCCATTTTGAGCTCCCCCCACAATATGCGGCAACCACAGATTCTCCAGTCAGGATTGGAAGTTTCAGCACCCGCTCTATAAGACGACTCCCACATATAAGGCGACTTCCATGCATAAGGCTACTCCAGTGTTTAAGACGACTCCCATGTATAAGACGACCCCTGACTTTTGAGAAGATTTTCTTGGGTTAAAAAGTAGTCTTATACACCAGAATATACGGTATATATTATTAGTTGTGTTGTTCACTGTTGTCCTATTCACCAAAAGACATGTTGAACTCAATGGAACCAACTTGAGTTACATATATTATAAATGCTTTTACTCTTAAATTTGAATCTAACCCTGTTCTTATCACTATTATAACTATATGCTGAAAATACAGAGTGGGGTAGTAATGTATAGACATAGAAATTAACAATCCTATGAGCTTTTGTGTTAAGATTTTTTTGTGGTTGAAAAAAACCCTAACCTGACTATTTGAATCCTAAAATCAGTTAATTTAAAGAGTTTCTTTACGTCTTCTATCCAGCCACTTTCATCTGTTCAGTGGACAGATGAGGGGCCTTGATAAACAACTTCTGACATGAGGCTTTCCTTTTCTCCCCAAAAGTACCCCCTGCCCACATCCATGCTGCATGCCACATTATTTAGGAGAATCCCTTTCCAGGCATATTTCTAATGATACAAGAGGTTGGAAAAACATTTAACAATGGTTCAACACATCCATGAGAGTAGTTTTCAAATGCTTCCATGAGTATCTCCCTGTTGAGTTCCAACAGGGAGGAATTAAAGCCATGTGGCAAAAAGAGCTAATATGACGTAGTGATCTGAGTGTTGGACTTGGACTCCCAATCTCTGTTCAACCATGGAAACCTTTTCTTAGCCTAAGAGGAAAGTAATGGCAAACTTCCTCTGAATACATATTTCCATGAAAACTCGATTAATGGGGTTGCCACTGGTCAGAATTGACCTTAAGGTGCATAGCAACAACTAGCAAGAGTCTCTGTGCTTGTGTCTGTGTGTCAAAATATGTACACACAAATGCTGAGCATTACTTAATATTGATTTCATGTGCCAGGTATTGGAAATCTACAAAGATCATCCAGTCAGCGTAGCACACTTACATACCAAAGAAATAATTATGCTCTGAACACAACAGCTACCTACGCAGAACCCTACAGGTCACTTCATTATCGATTGTCGGAGTCCAGTTACAACAGGATGCAACATGCAGCCCCTGCTGATGATGGCACAACAAGATCGCCTTCGATAGATAGCATCCAGAAAGATCCCAGGCAAGGATATTTGCTATGTTAATTCAGTACACTTAATTGCCATACTCTGAAGTGGCTCCTAATATTTTCAGTTTGGTCTTTCTCTAAGTTAACAGTTGCCTTCGTTCACCTAAGTTTCATTGTAAAAGTTTATAAAAGATTGTCAGTATCTAAAGTGGGTTAACCCTTTATAATGTAAAAATGTTAAATACAGGAAATTTAAGTGTAATTTTGGGAGGCTGGTAATGAGTAACTATATGTAATAAATAAATGATAAATTTGTGTTCTGCTTTGAATTTTACTTGTCTACTGAAGAGAGTTTGCATGGCGGGATCCAGAATTGCCTGAGGTCATTCACATGCTTCAGCATCAGTTCCCATCAGTTCAAGCCAATGCTGCAGCATATCTACAGCACCTGTGTTTTGGAGATAACAAAATAAAAACTGAGGTATGTCACAGGGTTATTCTTGTTGGAAAGAGTTCACTGAAAAATATTTCATATCTGTTAGAACAACTTGGCCAAGTGATCAGTGACTATAGTTCAAGTTTATTAGAGATAAGGGTTTTTTAAAAGCTAAAAGTGCATAAACTTTATATATGGGGGAGGGAGGAAGGATATAGATGAAAGATTAGATGAAATTATTATTTTAAATTTATTCTTCATTAAATAATATTAAAGTTACTAAGTCCTCCCCATTTCTAATTAATAAAATATCAATATACATGGTTATTCATTTGTGTTTAATTTGACCTTAATGTCTTTAATATGGAACTAAAAGGAACTGTGATAAGCACTATGATATTAACTATATGCATTTAGTTCCTTTTGATCATTGTCAGTGATACATCTAGTAGCTTGCGTCAGATTTTTTAGTAGCAAACTATATTCTCAAATAATAACATATTCTCAAATTATAATTATGGTGTTAGAGATCTCTTTTAAAAGTGTCACAAGTGGTAACAGGTTGCATGTGAAATCAGTAATGATAAAACTGTCTATATGCTTTTTTCAAACCTATAATACAAACAATTATTATATATTTAGGCTTTGTTGTGGCACTGCAAAAAACTTCATGTAATTTATAAATTCCCTTTTTGAGTGGGCAGTTCCCTTTTTACATATTTAAAATTACAATCTGTGCACATTTATCTAGAATCAAGTCTCAATGTCTTTAACTGTCTTGATATACAATACGTCTAATGGGATTGTTTTTTAAAAAAGAATGATCAAGATTTTTCTGCTCTTCACAGGTTTTTCGAAACCAATTTTTATGTCTAAAAGCAATTAATCACAAAAAAAGAACTCACTTAACATTTATAAGTCTTTTAGAAAGCAATGCATTTGACAGCAAATGCAAAATGGTGATTTATCACTTGAATTTTAAAAAATGGTTTCCTATATTAGAGTACACCTTGTTGTCAATATTCTTTACATATTTTTAAAAGAATATAGATACATGCTTTTAAAAGTGTTCCTACACTGGCTGTATGAGTTTTTGTAGATTTGCAAACTGCAACAGAAAACCACAGTTACGGCTTCTTTTCTGTTCTTTTCTCCCTCATTTGTTTTTCTCCCTCATTGAGTCAGGTAGCACTTAGCATATTCCTATCATATTGTGGTTACAGTTCATTGCCCACTGTCTAACTCCCTTGAGATAAGAGAAGTTCTACTATATGAACTTCATGTAGGAGGAAAAATCTCTCAAACATGTCTGGAGTTATACAATTAAACAGTCAGAAATGTTTTGTTGGCTACTTTATATTACAAAGAATCATCTTTTCATTTTAAATGATTGATGAAGAATATTCGTAAAGCTCAACAGCAATGGAAATAATTCCGTCCCAGACAGTAAAGATGTTACTATCAGCCAAGATGTTACTTTGACCAATATTTCCTGCTGCGTTAAACATTGCTTGAGAAGCACTCTTTTTTAAGCTCATCACAGTGAAATTTCCAGTTAATTAATCATAATACCAAGGATATGACAAGGATTTGCACAATGAACTTAGAAGGGAAACTGCTAAATAACAACGAAAACAACAAACAACAACAGTATTTTTATTTCTTGCCCATCTCTGCTCAAGGCAGGGTGGAACATTGTGACAGTGCTTAAATAAAAACATAAAATCATTAAAATACATATATTAAAAGACAGACACTAGACTAAAACTCATTAAAATAATTCATTTCACTAGAATGCCAATTTAAATCCATAGTTTGAAACACTATTTATAGAAATCAAACATTTCCTTTTAACATGTTCTTGAGAAGATCGAGAGGCTTTCCCTCTGGTGTAGTATGCAGGTTGTGGAATTTCCCCCACAGAGATGTATCTGGGTACCCAAAATTATTTACCGAGAATAAATGTCCACCAAAAGAAATATATTTTAATTATGGTGTGGACTTTATTACATGTTTCTACCTTCTCTAATTTCTTGTTGAGAGTAATATTCAGTTTGGGTAGCTGGGATCTGTAGTTATTCAGTTATTTTATCTGTTTTTTCTGTCTCCCCTCGGTTGATTTGTATTGTTTAACTTAGTAGATTTTTATCAGTTGCTATGCTTGCTTCAGGAACTATACAATACAGTTGTTGACAACACATGACACACATAATAGATGCAGCTCCATAACCCCATTTGTGTGTCCCTCGTGTTTTCCCCAAATGTTCTAGTCACATTTGCCAGACATGCTTTGCAGTGTTCATATATTGCCTACACACACTGCAATAATTGCTGAAATATTTTTTTACTGGGCCATTTTAGGCCAGGAAAAGACTTTTTAAGCAACAATGCAGTAATCAGAAGCCATTTCCTGTTACTTCTTGCTTCATTAAAAAGGCCCAGACATGGGGAAATACACCCCACTTCCTAAAAGGCAGTTGGGACCAAAACATGTTTTGAAAAGCTTTGCAAAGAATTTTTCATCCACAGAAAATCGGAGGGACGGGGAGACCTCCAAACATGGAGAAAATTCCCTCCATGGGGTCCCCAAAAATAGCCCATGCAGTCCTATGCACATTCATAGGCTACACTTTGTCCATCTTTACTCTAGGCTATTTATAGAATAACAGTATAATTTCATAAACTAAAAAGAAACGAGCTGAAAGCAGTGGCAACATATTAATGTATAAGACTACTGAATCAGCAGTAAAACCTAAACAATAAAAGTATAAATTTAAAAATTCAATAACAGAATGCCTGTCAAAAGAGAAAGATCATTGCCTGGTATCTGAATCTTCCTAATCTGATGTCTGGTAAATCTTTCTTGGGAGGGCATTCACCATGTAGGGAGATGCTATGTACTCAGAATGGTCTTTCTGGGATATCCATTCATGGTATCATTGTGGACATCAGTACTAAGCAAAGACATGCTGCAGATGTTGGTAGGAATTGGGCAGGAGAAGTCCTCCCACCTAGTGTTATGTAGGCAGATAGGATATGTGATATAAATGGCATCTGTGAGAATAAACTCTTCAAATCATTTTATGGTTCTTTCGCAGCTTCTCCTCATTTGTTACTGTATTTTCTTCTAGGTTTGCAGGTTAGGAGGAATCAAACATCTAGTCGACCTGTTAGATCACAGGGTCCTTGAAGTTCAGAAGAATGCTTGTGGCGCATTACGAAACCTGGTGTATGGAAAATCTACAGATGAGAATAAAATAGCAATGAAAAACGTTGGTGGGATTCCTGCACTTTTACGATTGCTAAGAAAATCAATTGATGCAGAAGTAAGAGAACTTGTCACAGGTAAAGTTTTAATAGATAGAAAATAAATGGCACATAGCCAGGTAAAATGTGTTTCTCTGTGTGAAAAGAAGTTTTTTTGAAATAGCTGAAAAGAGATTACTCAGAAGCAAGATGTATTTAATTGCTATCTTATTCTCAGCTGAATATGCACCTTTCGCAGCCTTTAATCTTTTTACTTATTCCACATGTGTTGCTTAAAATATTTAACTTAGAGAACTGGATACTGAGATATATGAAACAATGAGGACATTAATCCCTACCACACATGTCATGAGTTTAAATATTATTTTGGCTCCATAGGGCACTCAGATTTTTCAGGTTTACAACTCACATACATAAGAAATCATCTTTTTATTGAATCCTACAATACTTGTATAGTGTTAGCTAATTTTGCTAATTCTACTAGCATTCTGTGTCCATTGTATTTATAAGTCAATTTTTAGGTATATTATATTTTTATTAAATCGATTTTATTCATAACAAATAATGTATTAAATATTTCAGTCAGCATCCTATTGCCAATTTCAAGGTTATTTGGCTAAATCAGTGGGAAAATACTAATTCCTGACTTGATAAGTATATTCTGTTGATCAGTAAATGAACTCAGCAAAATAACATAAATATTTTTTCTAGTTATTGTTAGTCCCAACTAGAATAGATCCAGTGGAATATACATTATTTCCCAGGTTTCCATTGAAATACATTCTAGTTAGATATATTTTAGTTAGAATTTAGCCCTCCAGGTGCAACTTATTGCTTTCTCGCCTTGCTTTAAATGCCTGATGGACACTGACGGAGAGGAAATTTTGGTTGTATCTTGTATTCAGTTTATGCATAAAGAATATCTTAACTGTTTCTTTAAAAAAGAATATATTTTGAATTGAACATCTTAAAATTTTCTAATGCAGACATGTATTATTATTATTATTATTATTATTATTATTATTATTATTATTATTATTGGATTGTGTTGTGATCGGATGCAATTTCAGAAAACTGCAAGTGTTACATACAAGTTTTTTAAAAGTATTCAGCACATCTGACACTTTTCACAAAGTGTGATGCACACGTTAAGCATTTAGCCAACTGAATTCCTGAAGTGTTAAAGCAGTACGATCATTAAATGTTTGAGGTAAATGGAAGGAGACTCTTCCTCTTGCCTCTCTGCATGTCCTGGCAAGGGATCTCTGCTGGAGATGACTCTTAGCTCAATGGGTGCTGCCATGTCCTGCCCTGTCAACTCTCATCGATTATACATTTTATGGAGTTTTCCAGGATATTCTGCCAGCACAGATATGTAGTTTGCATCTTGATAGTCCTCCCAATCAAATCAGTTTGGCAGTTATTCTGCCAGTTGTTCCCTGTGCTTCCGCACTCTGAAATGAGTGCAAGTGAAGAAACTGCTGGAAGTTGAAGGCCCACTTAAAGCCATGCCTGACAGTATTGATTTATTGGAAGACTGTGGTGAAGCCAGCCAAAGGTTGTTTTTCATCTTTCCTCCCATCTTCACCTATCTGATAATCCTGTTACTTAGAACTGGTACAAGTGTACCAGCCTGAGCAGTCATCAGTATAGCACTGCCCACATTGAGGCTGACTATCTGAATATGTTGCCTGGGCAACCCTGTAAGACATCATGCTGCTTGCTTCTTCCTATGATCTCTTGTGGAAGTACACATGTATTCTTTTCACTTAGCCCAGCAGGATTATTGAACCACTGCTTGATGACTTAGTTGGTATCTCAGATATTTCCTTATGATTTTAATCCCGTTCAAAAATACAGTTTACTATGTATGTATGTATGTATGTATGTATGTATAATGTATTAATGGAGAAGGGGCTGTAACCCCTACACATGGGATCACATCACAAATCATGCACTGTTCTACTACACTGTCTCAGCTTGTAGGTCTATCTGCATTCAAGTCACCTGTTGACTTATAGCGACCCTATACATTTTAAAGGGTTTTAAAGACAAAGAGTATTAGAGTAGTTTTCTAGTTCCTTCCTCTAAATTCAAGTATAGCCACCAGCTCCTGATATTCACTGGCAGTTTCCCATCCAGCTATTAACTTGAGCTCACCCTGCTTTGCTTTCAAGAACAGATGGGATCTGGTGCCTCCATACTATTTAGCCCATTTTCTTGGCTTACCACAGAACAGATTATTTTCCCTTGCTCACATCCTTCTAACAGGAGTATTCTGCAGATCTTTGGTTTACCAAGTACATTGTCTGAACCTTTATAGCACTAATAGAGAACCTCTCTTGATTGTGCCAGTAAAGCATTTGAAGTTCCATTGGTGGAATGAGAAGAGGGAAAATTACTTCCTTTATTCTTCGTGGTCTCTGTGAAATCACACATATGGTAGTTGGTGCAAGTGCACAGAAAGTCGGAACCCTCTGGAAAGCTTTTCCAGCTGTTGGCTATAGTCGTGCCCATCTTCCCCAGATGGGATATACCCCATCATGTTAGCTCTGAGGTGGAGGTGGATGTTGCTAATGAAACATTTATGTGCATTTCCAAGCCAGTTATATGCAATAATCACGCTTTAATTTTAAAGATCATGGAAATCTTTTTAAGGAGCCAAGTGTTCAGAAATGTATTTGGAAATCTTCTCCTTAATTTTTTTTTAATATTTTATGCCTAAGCGATAACTTCTGCAGTAAGATCACAAAGCCAGTATTTGTTTTGATTTTAGATCCCTTATAAGGAAAAATAACTTCTATATTCTCGATTTCCTCAAAAAAAGTCTTATTCTGCCTCAGGGTGTTTTGCATTTACTTCTATGGAATCTCATTTTTCATGAGTTATAAGCCATCTCTAAAAGTTTGTATGATTTATAGCTTTTGAAATCACCGAGACAGTTAGACAGATCTTATCTCAATAACTTGGTCAGAAACACATTTTTACAGCAAATACTTTTACATACAGTTACATTTTTGATACCACATACATGCAAAGTGCAATCTAGTGTTAAGTTATGCATGCCTAAGGTATGAAGTCAGTAGGACCAAAGTTGTTAACAGTGTGGTCAGGATGATTTCACAAAAAAATGGGATATTTCCCTCTTCTTTAAACTAAGCCAATTGGTCAAGATCCAGTTATTTTCATCTGCTGATAGCAGTGGATTCATAAGGTTGCAATTTCCCTCCTTTCTCCAGCAGCATCAATATGTGTTCCAGAGGCTGGAAAAACCACAGACAGTGGAGTTTTAGTTATGCTCATTACTGGAGGAAAGAAGAGAAAAGGGGTATCGTTTTGGAGACCCACTCAAGTTGTTTACCGGAAGAAAAATGAATTGTTCCTGGGAGTGGATTTACTTTTCTCCCCTCATTTGAATCACACACAGTTGGATCCTGGCCAGGATAGACGGACAGACAGACAGACAGACTGATTGATTGATTGATTGATTGATTGATTGATTGATTGATTGAAATATGAAATATGAAGAAAGCAGGGCTACTCAAAGTGGTGGTTTCTGGACCAGTAGTCTCAGGAAATAAATAAAAAATTGTAGCCAATGGTTAAAAATTTGGTGCTGGAGAAAATTGGTTTTTGTGTTGTTTTGGTGTTTTACTGTAAGCTTATCATTTCTGGTAAAGAAATCAAAAAGAGGAGGAAGAAGGAAAATTATAATTATTTATAATAGTAGTAATAGCAGTAGTATGTTAAGTGAGCATGGACTTGTAACAAGTACAAGCTACTATCGGTATTATGACAACATGAGTGATTTCTACTAAGGTCAAAACAGTGTCACTCAGGATGAAGTGGACAAAAGGGGAGGAAGGGGAGATGAAATCAGTGGGACCAACACTCCTGGTATTGTGGTCAGAAAATTACTTTGCAGAAAATTAGCTGTGCTTCATTAGATTAAAATTATTGTTGTAATTACTGTTACTATCAATTACTATTTAATTGACTGAAACATCAAGAAATGTAATCAGATTCTATTATGAGTCCTTTTTTTCTGAGGCTTCCAATATATAATACTGTAACCCCAGTTTTTAAAAAGTATTTTTATAGTATTTCTGGATATTATTTATAGTAAAAGAATTATTTGGCCATAAAAAATCTGGCATTTTATAACTCCTGAACTTTGGGTGAGGAATTTTTGTTAATGAGAAAAGATTTTCAAGATTTCTAGAGCACATCATCTGACAAAGAATGTTACAAAAAGCCAAATAGAAGAAGATCACTTGGTGAAATTATTTGATGTTAAATGTCATTTAGTTTGTATGTTCTGAGCTTTATCCCTAAATGGTGTTATCATGTTGCTATGTGAACAAAGCATTCTGTTCTGAAGAGCCACAATTATGGGTACCTTGCTTCATCAAAATTTCATATATACCTCATTGGATTGTATTGCCAGACTCTTAATATCTTATACAGCCTTAGGGCAGGCATGGATTCCAAGTGTGCTTCCATTGGCCAAATGCCAGTGGAATTTATCCATATTGAAATTCATTGGAATGTTTACTATTAAATTTTGAATGTTTTCAAAATTACCTAACATATCAGGAGAAATCCTTTCACAATGCTTCCCCATAATAAGAAAAATTAATAAGGGAATTTTACTTCTGAAATATAACACATTACCTTTATGCCTCATGTACCATTGTTATTTCTAGCATGCTACATTGAAGTTCTGGAGAAAAAGACTCCCAGAACCAAAAATACTTCCTTTCATACAAATTGTTGCACAATACTTTGCATATCTTATTTCCCAGATCTGCCTCGTCTTGATTCACCATGTTCCTTATGTTTCTTAACTACGGATTCCTTATTGTATTTCATAGCAAGGCATCTTCCATTAGCCCTTACACAAATGTTGAGAGAGCTGCATTAATAATCATTTTTCTTTAAGGCCACAGTTTTTTGGATTCATGGCAGAGGTGTCATGATTAGATGGTATGCAAACTTTTTTCAAAGAAGTCCTGAAATGTGAACCATCATTCGGAAATGTGCAAAAACTCTCATACTCTCAGCATGGACATTTTTTTAGAAGCACTTGATTCTTGCATGAGAGAATAAAAGAAACAAATTCACATTACTAATTAATAGTTGCTTCGAATATTTTATGTTGGTGGGTGTTTTCATTTTGTCTGATTTATATACACTTTAACATCAAGATATGTAGTCCATTCAGATGAAGCTTTTAATCCAGACAATTAAACTTTTTCTGGTCCTTCCATACAAAGCAACTAGGAGCCCCCAGTGGTGCAATGGGTTAAACCTTTGTACTGGCAGGACTGCTGATTGAAAGGTTGGTGGTTTGAATCTGGGGAGTGGGGTGAGCTCCTGTCTGTCAGCTCCAGCTTCTCATGTGGGAACATGAGAAAAGCCTCTCACAGGATGGTAAAACAACCAGGCGTCCCCTGGGCAATGTCCTTGCAGATGGCCAATTCTCTCACGCCAGAAGCGTGAAAAAGAACAGAGAGAAAATGCATACTTTGTTATGGAGGTGCAATTGATATACATTTCATGCAGGTACTATCTCCCCCTTGAGATGAGTCTCCTAAGTAAGACTGGGTAGTTTTTTTCTCAGCATGATGAAATAAGATATAACCCCTATGTATTCTTTATATACAGAAGCAATTGTATTGTTTCTTTCAAAAATGCATTCCAGTCATTTGTAAAATCAGGTCAATATAGCACTAAATCTGTTGTTAATGAGATACTCTGAAACAGAAATGACTCCTAGTTGGTAAACCACCTATATTTCAACACCATTTCTCTTATATTTCAACGGTAATGGAAGGCTATTGCTGGTTTCATACTGTGCAGAATATAAATGAAACTGCAGAGTAAATAGTTCCTTTCAACCAGATATAGATAATCTAGATTTCATTTTCTTGAAGGTTTAGGTGACAAATTATCTCAGATTTGTTTTGGATTTTATTTGTTGACTGTATAAAGTCTTCCAACAGCAGAATCCTATACTTAGCTATTCAGAAGGAACTCCCACTGAGTCCAGTGGGTCTTACTTCTAGATAACCAGGCTTAGGATAGTGGTGTACATCCTATTGCAGTAATGGTGCAGCATCTGCACGGGTTTTCAGGTACCTTTTCTTTAATGTACTGCTCTTTTATTGTAAACTCATCAATGGCTTTGAAAATTATTACCAGATAATGCTTTGTTCCTTGTGTTCTGCTGTGATCTCTTAAGATAAATCTTCTTGATGGTGATTTCCATGTGCTAAATAGAAAGACCAAAGGCACATAAAGAAACATTACTGGTTTTATGTGGTGAAATGTCTGTTATTATTTTATGCTTTAAAGTAGTTTGAGGGGATTACTCTGTTATGCTTTAACTTGCTACTATTATCCCCATAGTCTTGAGAGGTTGAAATATATGTTGAAATAAATATCTTTAGACATCCCCAAGGGGTTCTTTGATGTTAACTGATAGAATGCCTTATTGTTGTTGGTTTTTTTAAATTCTTTTTTTGTATAGGCGTTCTCTGGAACTTGTCTTCCTGTGATGCAGTAAAAATGACAATCATTCGAGATGCTCTGTCAACACTGACAAACACTGTGATAGTTCCTCATTCTGGGTGGAATAATTCTTCCTTTGATGATGATCATAAAATTAAATTCCAAACTTCTCTAGGCCTCCGCAACACAACAGGATGCCTGAGGTAAATTGCTGTGTTTATACTTCTCATCTTAAATAGCAGTTTCTTCTTCAGCTTTTGTAAACATTTAGTTTTGCTATTTAAGCTAATTTCCTTCCCCTTTGTGTAATGAAAAAGACCAAGCATATAAATGTGTGTTCTAAGGCATTTTCTTTTATGATTGACTGCATGCCCTATGTTTGTGCTAAATGCCCATCTAGAGTTAACTTTTGGCTGGCATTGGTCCCAGGTCACACTAGGTAATTTAATCTTTAGCATATTAACCAATCACTGCTGTAGTTCAGGCCGTTCTATTAATGTACGCTTGAAAGAATTATTGCAGCGTATACACATCAAAAACATGAAATGGTAATGGCCAGCATCCAGAGAGCTACTTTAGATATCCCCAAGGGATTCTAAATAGAGTTATTTATTTATTCTCCTTTAATCAGAAGAATGCTCCTCCCATGCTATCTTGCAAACTGCTTTTATGTCTCCTTCAATTTCCAGCCAGTTTACCATGTGTAGCAAAGGTCTTTTATTCTTATAACCTTACCTTTTGGTCATAATGAACTATCCTATATATAATCTCTAAATCGATAATTTTTTGTCAAAAAATCCACCCAAAAACCTAAGTCAACTTATTAAGTGGTCAGTGTGAGCACCGTTCCTTAACTCTCATTTAAAAAATGAACCAACCCCTTCTCTGAGTGGAGTAGCAAAAGGGAAGCGCTTAGTCTGCCCTTGGAGAACTTCAAAGAAAGACTGACTTCATTTACTCTCTCTACCCTGGTACTGTTTCTGGCCATTTTGAATGCCTGGGTGGGAAAATGGTAGTGTCAGTCAACAGTAGTGGAATTGTTCATTTCCCATCTGCAGAATGACCCTCAACCCATCCATGGGTCATATAAAATGCATATTTTGGCCCCAAATCCTTTCTGCCTTACACATGAGTAACTTTTCAGACTTTTTGTCAGGGGACAGTAGTGGAGGGAATGGACTATAGAATACTCACACAAATAAGAACAGAGCAACAAAATAAAACCAGGGTTTACCTATAATTTTGGAAACTCAAATTGTGGGTATGTGTTGGTATAGATTGCCCCATAGTTTTATTAGACTGTTTTTAAAAGTAGCAGAGCCTAAAGAAGAACTATTTGAAGGCACAACAGCAATAACAAAAGATATTTTATGATGCATGCATTGAAAATGTACTGTTTGTAATATTTAAAGTTTCTATCTTGTCTTAATCTGACACTTAAACTAAATTCTCATGTAGTCAGTTAATTTAAGCCATTCATGAGAAAAGACATTTTGTTAAATATCATGGGGATCTATAGAGGCCAATGTGTTACAAAAAAGAAAAAGTCATCACTGTGTTGAGTTTCCCATGGGGGCTTCTTGAGCACAGTGAGCAAACTACCAAAAGTATAGTCCCTGCCCTGACGTAAAGCCAGGGGCATTTTGTCTGGGATTTTAACATGTTTCTCCAGAAACAAATGAGCCTCAGTAAAATATCTCATTCTCCTACAGTTCGGAAGCAGAGAAATAAAAAAAAATCCTACTGGGAACTCATTTTATCTTTGGAATGCTTAGATACAGAATGAAAAATTCAGCAGCCTCTGATGCTCCTATATACAGTAATATTATCCTTTCAAGCCGTTAGAAGGCTGTCATGGAATTTGTGAATAGTTCATCTACTTCTACAAGTTTCTTTCATGGGATGTGATGCTAAGAGCATACTTAAATTGTCTTAGTGTAGTAGTAGTAGTAGTAGTAAGAAGAAGAAGAAGAAGAAGAAGTAGTAGTAGTAGTAGTAGTAGTAGTAGTAGTGTGCCAGTGGTCATTGGCACACTGGGTGCCATGCCAAAAGATCTCAGCCGGCATTAGGAAACAATACACGTCGACAAAATCACTATTTGTCAACTGCAAAGGACCACCTTACTTGGATCTGCACGTATCATTCAAAAATATATCACACAGTCCTAGACACTTTGGAAGTTTTCGACTTGTGATTTTGTGATATGAAATCCAGCATATAGATCTTGTTTGCTGTGACATACTGTGTTTTTGTGTCAATAATAATAATAGTAATAAATTTTATTTGCTGCCTACCTTTTCCTCACAGCTTCAAGGTGGAGAAACCACATTTAAAACACATCACCATTAAATACATAGAATAAAATCATATATTAAAATACATTACTATAATGGTATGAAAAATGAAATACAGTAAACACAGGTCATGAGTTTAGAATTTTTTGTTAAAATAGATTAGGTAGGCCTGCTGGAAGAGAGTTGTCTCTTAAATTCTGACAGCTGATTTTGCTGTCGGAGTTCTTCTGGCAGGTCATTCCACAGCCTCAGGGTGGCCGATGAAAAGGTCCTTTGGGTGACTGTTAGATGCTGGCTGATTGGAATAAACATCCCCCAGCGAACCTAAGTATCTGGGGCAGATTGTACGTGAAAAGGTAAGCAGGACCCCTGAAAACATTACATTTTAAGTTACCCAGACTAAGTATCCCAACAGCATTGCGCTATCAAGGATTTCATATAGCCACACCTTTTTTCCATTAATTTGATCACTGAATAAATATTTTTAATTGGTCAGAGTTCGTTAGCACCCAGAATTTTATTCCAAATTGTCCAACATGCCTTTGCAAAGGAGCAGCATAAGATATAAGATATAAAACTATATAATAGTACCAATTCATAAAAAGTAATAACTCGGTGAGATAAATTGAGAAGCTCTGAAAGCGTGTAACAGCAGCATTTAATCTAGATGTAGCCTCTGGCTTTCATAATACAAAACATACATCTTCTTGCATATAGCATCTTTCCAGATATCTCTCCTCTCACTACAGCTTGCTACAGCAGCTGCAGCTACATCATCCTAATCTATGCTGCTTCCAATCATTCTTCACTTCTCCCATGATGTTCCCCAACCACAACTTGTTTTGGCTATCACAGCTCGCTCTTTGCACCTGCCCAACTCACACCATCTTTTCTCTTTTCTCTCTTTTTTTTTTTTTTTGGACTTTCTCCTCCTTCCCTCTCCCACCACTTTTGGCAAATACTTTTAATTCTTGTTTCACATGTCTAGTTGTCACTCATATCTCTTCAAATCTTTCGATTATGTAGAAAATGGACATGACTTGCAAGCCAAAATTCGATTATGTAGAAAATGGACATGACTTGCAAGCCAAGCTTGTGTTGCAGAAAGTAACATGGTATCTCATTTTTGGTGGTTGCCTTTAAAGAACACAAACAACAAGGATCCTGTTTAGATTTATTTTCCTGGATGATGAAAGCAGGAAAAGTCATGTTGCTGTTAGCTTTAGATGTCATCTGTGAAAGGCTGCAAGGAATTTAGACTTTCAAAGTAGTTTTGGCAGCAGCCATTAGGTATGACTTGAGAAATGACAGTAAACAATAACAGCTAGCCAAGCAATCTGCCTGCACCATGTGGTCTATTTATTGCCACCTGTGTATCTGAGTAAAAGTTTGTTGAACAACAAAAACAGAATAAAAATTGGAAAAGGCAGTACTTTTTTATATCTCTGCCCTTCCTCCGCACTTGGCTAGGACTATTTTTGAGTTACTATGGAAAATGATGACCCATGTTCAGATTTCTATATTTAACCTAAACATTTATTTGTTTGCATAATCTCCAGTGAAAATTCACCTCATTATTTTAATTGTTTTGACTGTAAATTTGTAGCCAGCATTGGAGTAAGAAACACTGATGTTTTTATACATGAGAGGCATTGAATTTTGCCATTGATTATGTTGTGAACCGCTTTGAGTCTCCCCAGGGTGAGAAAAGAGGTATATACAGTATATTCTGGCGTATAAGACTACTTTATAACCCAAGAAAAACTTCTCAAAAGTCAGGGGTCGTCTTATACGCGGGTGTAGTCTTATGCATGGGAGTCATCTTAACTCTATATTTTAACTGGAAAAGTTGGGGGTCGTCTTATACGCCCAGTCGTCTTATATGCCGGAATATACGGTAAATGCAATAAATAAATAAATAAGAACAGAGGGAAAGGAAAGGAAAGGAGGAAAGGGAAGGAAGGAGGGTAGGAAAGGAATGGAAAAAATCAATCTCCCTGTAATAGTATTATTCTTGAGGTCTTTCGATGTGCCCTCCCAACAGTACATTTAATCTACTGATATGACAATAGGTATTCTATTAAAATGTATTTTCAGCCTATTAGCTGAAAATGCATGTTAAAAATAAAAATGTTAAGTGTACTACATTATCTGCCACATATTTATGATTTCTCAGAAAATGATATCCTAAGCTATTTCTTGCTCCAAAAAAGTAATTGCATATGTATGTATATTTGCCTTAGGGTCGCCATAAATTAGATCCAACCTGAAGGAACAAAACAACAACATGGCTTTGATAGGAATACTGACAATATAGAATGTTTCTTGTTACACTGTTTTTCGTCCTTAGGAATCTAAGCTCTGCAGGAGAAGAAGCACGGAAGCAAATGAGAGCGTGTGAGGGGCTGGTTGATTCGTTGTTATATGTGATCCACACATGTGTGAACACTTCTGATTATGACAGCAAGGTGTGCAAATCTTAACTATGGATTATCTTTTTATACTCGAGAGATTTTGTTTGAGACTGTAATATATAGATACTATTTCAGTCACAAAGTTTTTGCACTTTTATTGTGAAATTGAGAACTGAAATGATCGATTTTTAATTGGCACTGTTTTAGTTATTCTTGGTTAGAATTAAGTGTTACTTTGTTGGGGAAGATCATTATGACCACATTTAAAATGCTCTATATCATACCAAAGATCAAGGGATCACTGTCAAACTCACTATAATTTGAATGCAGGTGACAGATTTTCCGAACAATTCTCCATGTTTCCTATCCCCAGATAGTGGAGGCATCAAGCTATCTGTCTCCGCAAACAACCATTGCAGCAGGCATATCATTGCAGAATCTCTTCTGTTTGGCTTACAGACTGTGGAAAACTGTGTGTGTACATTAAGGAACCTTTCCTACCGTCTAGAGCTTGAAGTGCCTCAGGCCCGCCTGCTGGGTATTAATGAATTGGATGACTTTTTGGGGAAGGAATCACCAAGCAAAGATTCTGAACCAAGCTGCTGGGGGAAAAAAAAGAAGAAAAAGAAGAAGACATCGCAAGAAGATCAGGTTTGTTCTTTCTCCTTTGCGCATCAGTAACTTTCAGCTGCTTATGTTACAATATTACAGATCTTGGGATGGCAAATATAGATAATATGCCAAAGGTGTTAAAATCCTTTTCCATTCATCCTAGGAGATTGTATTTACACATAATAATTATATATCTTTTACAGTGGGATGGAGTTGGCCCAATACCAGGATTGTCAAAGTGTCCTAAAGGTGTGGAAATGCTGTGGCACCCTTCTGTAGTAAAGCCGTATCTAACTCTTCTAGCTGAAAGCTCCAATCCAGCTACTTTGGAGGGTTCTGCAGGATCTCTCCAAAATCTGTCTGCAGGCAATTGGAAGGTAGGGAATGAAATTAAAATGTGTTGAGATTTCTCTTTTTTCATCAGCGATGCTCCAGTGGACAGTCAGATGTAATATAAGAAAATGCCTCAGGTATTTTCTATGCATTATTTACAAATTATTCTCCTTTTATCCGGGAAACTTGTTCCACATCTCAAAAGTCTCTTATGAGCAGTTTGACAGTCTGATCGATACAGGCAAAAATTTAATATATTTGACACCATGGCTATTAGTCTGCTAGTCGGAGAGTAGGAACAAAATGTTACTGACCCTACATTTTGGCATGTATTGGCATCTTACCCATATGATAGAATTACTAGATTGTACTACTTTGGATTAATTATCTGCCCCAAACATGCTTGTAGTATTTGTTGGCTGGGACAAGCAGGCACAAGGCTGGTTCCAGGTCTTTGGTGTCACTTGTGTAAAACAAGGTTGTAAATACTTGTCAAAGATATAATGTAATGCAATGTAATTTTTGTACAAATAGGTTACTGTGTCTTTAAGGAAACTTTGAATATTTTTAATTTGGGTTTGTTGAAACAAGCCAGATTCATTAACTACAGTTTAAAGAAAACACACTATGTGTGTTGAACTTTCCCCACTTTTTTCACAACTCCCCAATCTATTCACCAAAATAAAAATCCCACCATTCACAGGTTTTTTTGTCATTCTTCCAGATGTTCCTTTTTGTCATTTAATCTGTGTTGATGAAGCAGTGTGACATCCATCAAATGTTAACTTTTAGACCAGTGGTTCTCAACCTGTGGGTCCCCAGATGTTTTAGCCTTCAGCTCCCAAAAATCCCAACAGGTGGTAAACTGGCTGGGATTTCTGGGAGTTGTAGGCCAAAACGCCTTGGGACCCACAGGTTGAGAACCACTGTTTTATACCCTTTCATCCATCTGTCATCTTAGATGGTGGACTTTAATTTATCATTCCTTATTTAGAAATTGCATGGACTAGCTTACCTGTTGGTTTTTAATTTTAATTACTCTGGATTCTTTGTGGAACTCATTGGGTTTCCTTTTATATCTTCCTTTTGCATATTTACAACTCCATTAACATTTCAGTATTTTCGAGTGAACTTTTATTTTCCACTACGTAGCTAAACATATGTATTTATAAAAGACAGGGCAGTAATTTTTCAGTAGCCTTCTCACAACAACAGTGAAGTTAAGATGAACTGTTCTGGTAAAATTCATGACGTTTGTGATAAATGTTTATTAATGTAAGACTGATAACATGGATTTTTTGTGTTTTTTCTCTGATCCCTGTCCTTCCCCTTCTGGTTTATGTATTTTATTGGTGGACAGGATTACAAATGAGCTTATGTTAGTTAGATGATACTGAGGATTTTTTGAAACCAGTTTGTCCTCTATAAAAAAGGAAAATCTTTGCTATCACTTTTTATATTCATTTGTTTTGCTCAGAGGGTCTACAGAGATTTATAATGCAGCATTTCTTTAGTGAAAAGAAGGTCACAGCTTAATTAAGTTAGCTGATGATGAGCTACATTTATAGCAAAAATGTGGGGAGATTAATTGTTGCTCACAATTCAGTATTGCAGTCCACATGCTATTATCACATCCTTTAATAGTTACTAAAACATTTATCCCACTTCATATTTCACCTAAATTCCTAATTCATTTCCTTAGTCTAAGCATCATAGCAAGGCCATCGAATTCTAGCATGAAAACAAAACTTAATGAATAAGTTAATGGGACCTGGGTAAGCTCTTTTGCAAAACTTGAAAATATGAATGTTTTCGGCTATAGTTTCCAGAGTCACTCAACACAGCTAGTAGCCATGCTAGCTAAAGTATTCTGGGATTTAACATTAAAAAACTGCATTGCCAAGTTCTGCCCACTTGCACTTCAAACAAAAAAACACCATCAGTTTCTTTAAAAATTAATGAAAAGGCAGAGGCATTTGAGTACTTTTGTATTTTTTGTGTAACAGTTTGCGGCCTATATTCGAGCTGCAGTCAGGAAAGAGAAAGGGCTTCCAATTCTTGTGGAATTGCTGAGAATGGACAATGACCGTGTTGTTTCCTCTGTGGCAACTGCTTTGAGAAACATGGCTTTAGACGTTCGCAACAAGGAGCTTATTGGTAAGCATAAAGAGTACCTTACTATCTTAGCTATCAATATAGGAAAACACTTTTTTTGAAAAAAAGAAGTCTTTATATGCCTCTAGCTATTCTGTGACTCTCTACAACAGCAAGCAGACACCGGGAAGCAAACTGTTTCAGGCAGGAAGTTTTATTTGCAAGGCTTGATTGAAAATGATTTTGCTTGTAAAGTCATAATCTTCCCCAGATCCATTATGCTGATGATGGATTCTGGCATCACCCACATATATTCCTTGCCTTTGGGATCAGTAGCATTTTGAATTTTAACACCTCTCTTATTCTGCCTTAATAGTTCTGTCAAAACGGGACTATGTATGGATAGGACGGTATATGTACAGCTGAAATAACCAGTTCCTACAGGTGATAAATTATCTGTCTTCTTACCTGTATCTTGATGTTTTTAGTGCAAAAGAAAAGAAAGGCTGTTGGTCATTATAACCAAGCCAGTGGTTCTCAAATTTGCTCTCCCAGCTATTTGGGACTGCAGTTTCTGTAATCCATTCTCTTGGCCATGCTGTCTGGGACTTCTGGGATTGCAAGCCCAAAACATCAGAAAGACTAAAAGTTGAGAACCACTGACCAAAGGCCTTGGTTTTGAAAGTGGCTTTCTGAGGGGCATAGAATAAAAGAAGGTTATAAAGTGTTTTTCCATTAAAAAAGATGAATAGTCCTTTGAGATACAGTTTTGACATTAGCTGCTATACTTATGGTGTAATATGAAGATGTACAACTGGTCACTATCTTTGGGGTTTTGGTTTTAGAGCAAAACCACATATGATCAGACCTCACAGTTTTTCAACAAAAGTTCAAACAAGCACAAAGATCTCTGAATTTGGAGCTATCTGGTCCATCTAGATTCAGAGCCCTATGTTCCTGTTTACTCTATCAGGAGATTTCTTGCATTATGTTTGGCTTGGCTGTAAATTCACCTGGAGTGGCAGTGATTCTTAGTCATTGTCTACTTGAAATATGTGAACCTTACCATGGACTTCAGGATACATTGCACTGTGTAGAACAATGGTTCCCAACGTGTGGTCCATGAACCACCAGTGGTCCGCAAGACCTAAAATATGGTCCATGGTCTCACCATTACTATACTATTGCAACGAGAGTGACTGGTCTTGCAAAACCCTCTTATAGTGCTGAGGCGTATTAAATATGGTTTTCTGTGGGTGAGCAGGCAGTGACTCCTGGATGGCATATGCCCTGTATTGGAAACTAGAGCTGATGTAGTCTATCCAATGCAGTTTTTTGAATCAGCACCCCAAATAACCAAACTGAATCTATAGTTGACCAGAAATCGATTTGTAATCCTTTTGGTACTAATGTTGGAGAGTGGCCCCTGGTCAAGTGGTCCCTGGTCAAAAAAAAAAAAAGGTTGGGAATCACTGGTGTAAAAGTTACTATTCAGATAAATTAACATAGAAGGGTTCCCGGAGAAACATATCTTCCTCCCCTCTTTATCATCTGGCACCAGCCAGAGATCACGTTATGAGTATATGGAGGTGCTGACATATTTGAGATTGCAACGATATAGCAAAATCAATATAATCAGACAAATAGCTTTTAAAACCTACAATCCCAATTCAGAATTGCAGTGTAAACGAGAAAATCTACAGTGGCAAATGTTAATTCAAGCTGGAATCATTGCTTCCCAGTGTAAATAAATCTCTTTTATTTGTATATTAAACTGACTCGTTCCCTATAAATCCTCTTTCTTTCAATGAGTCTATTCTGGGTATAACTCAATCTGGTTCTGTTCCACAGGTTTTCATTCAAAATATTTCAAAAGTGTAAATTAATAAGAGTTCCCTATTAAGAAATGTTTTCTTTTTAAGTTAAATGTCAGCATTTATCTGCCAACATGCTACTCTAGGTGAAAATTAATGCCTTTCTTGTAAAAATCTGCTTGCTAGCTATTGTTTGTATCCAAATATTTCTCTAGTTTTTATTTTATAATGCAATTGTTAATTAAAAGCCACTGAATTACCATAACAGCCCAAACTAAAGCATTTAGCTTTCTTTTGTTTATAGTGTCTTTGTAAGCAATTAAAATCAAAAATTTCCTCCTCATAAATCAATCTTTATGGATGAAAATGAAGTGATAAATGGTGCAAGAGTTGCCTCACTCTGTCGTTTGTGAAGCCTTTTTATTACACACCAGTCCCGAAATGAAAAGAACAGGTGTTTCTCTTGTTCTTCTTCCTGTATTTATATTTACTGCTTCCCTATTTTCTAGTCTAAAGAATGAAGTTCCAGCATTTTGTTTCTGTTTCTGTTTCCCATCAGCTCCAAGTCCTGCTTGCTGATGAGGAGGTGCACAGTATACCCTGGTGAAATATCTGTTGTGTTTCTGTAAACCACAGATTGCTTGGAGCCTATGCAATTAATGTGATTGTGGCTTTCTTGCTGTGTAATGGCCCTGCTAAAACAAGCTTATCTAAAACAAGTACATAGATTTCTGTATTCCTGTGTACTTTGGCAGCTTGCCATAGTCAATTTAATCATTGCACTCTTCCCAGCCACCCCCAAGCCCCCCATTAGCAAAAGAATCTAGTAAAAATTTGAAAAATGACACTGCGATATCTGTTCCCATTATGCCCAGTTGCAGTGATTTCTTCTTCATGGTGGCAATTTTCCCCCTTTTTAAGATAAAATTTCTTTCTGCTGTGGTTGCTTCTGGAGCTGTGTGACTCCTCACAACACGGTTCAATATAGTGTTAAAATTATATACCACATCATCATTTGTAGCTTATCTTGTCTATATGGATTTTTCTCTTCATCACAGGTAAATATGCTATGCGAGACCTGGTAAATCGCCTTCCTGGAGGCAGTGGACCAAATATTCTCTCTGATGAAACTGTGGCAGCAATATGCTGTGCTTTGCACGAGGTCACCAGCAAAAACATGGAAAATGCCAAAGCACTAGCTGACACAGGTGGAATAGAAAAACTGGTAAACATAACAAAAGGAAGGGGTGACAGGTAACTGTTGGGTGCTAAAACTGCACCAGTAAAAATCTTGTATGTGCTTCTGATAAGTGGAATTTACAAAATTTGCTTTTGACTTAAGAAGGGTCAGTTTCTACATGGTTTTCAAGAGCTATATTGCATTGAATCAAAATATGCTGGAGGTGCTTGCAGATGACTTGGAAGGGAAAAGAGGAACAGGGTAGTACTGTTACTAAACAAAACCCTATGATAAAGAAAACAACATTTTTCAATTTTGTAGTTGTTTTGAGTTGTTTAAAGGCCCCCTGGTGGCACAGCGGGTTAAACCACTGAGCTGCTGAACTCGCTGATCAAAAGTCTGGTGGTTCAAATCCGGGGAGCCGGGTGAGCACCCACTGTTAAGCTAGCTTGAGTAGTTCAATAGGTACCGTTTCTGCAGGAAGGTAATGGCACTCCATGAAGTCATGACCTTGGAAGTGTCTCCGGACAACACCTGCTCTTCGGCTTAGAAATGGAGATGAGCACCAACCCCCAGAATCAGACACGACTAGACTTAATCTCAGGGGAAACCTTTACCTGTATCTTGATTTACATATCAGTAACACCACGTCCATGTTTCCCAAAATGTGTTTCCCCAATATTGGATATAATGATGTATAAAGCCCCAAAGAATAGTTCTCAGGGGGCAAATAATTTTGATAGCCTTTTGAGAGACTTGCATGCCTGTACTCATCTCTCCAGCAGACTGCATGTTGTTGGTTGTATTGTCTATCTGTTGAATTGTACATCTTGGCTTCAACCTTGCATAGGTAGACGAGACTGATGCTTAATGCACAGAATCGTGTTTCTGACTCTTCTTAAGGCACATGTGACTCCCCTCTCATCTTTTTCTGGTTTCAACTTCATCACAGAAGCCATAGAATTTTCCTGGTGTGGAGTATACTGTTGTTTTTAGTGTTTGTATAACATGCACAGGACAGATTGTACTACAATCTAATCATAAACAATTTTTCCTTCTAGGTCATCATTGAAAGTTGTCAAGGCAGCAGCCCAGGTGCTCAACACATTATGGCAATATCGCGATCTTCGTAGCATTTATAAAAAGGTAGCACATAAAAATTAATATTCATCAGGATGCATTTCCACAATGAAATTTAAGTGATCTTCTTCTAATGAAGCATGCAAATTTTTGTGTGACCTCCTTTTGTTTCTGTCACAGGACGGTTGGAATCAAAATCATTTTATTACCCCAGTGTCAACACTTGAGCGTGACAGATTCAAGTCACATCCCTCCTTGTCGACAACGAATCAGCAAATGTCGCCTATCATTCAGTCTGGTCAGTTAATAAAACTTTTCCTTTATATGTGATTAGATCTGGGAGGTTATTTCCCTAAGCAGAACTTATACAAACCCTTTAAACCCTCTGAGATTCTATTTCAGTTTTTACTCCAACTTTTAAAAGATTGAAGCCAACCTGCTTGTCTGGTTTTGTGAGGCTGAATTCAGTAGAGAAAGCTGGTGAACCTGTAATTGGAGATTATGCTTTTACACTTGCAACAGCCTAAATAACTATTAATTTAGGAAGTCTGAGTTATATATAAGAAGTCTGCATGCAAAAGGCCCCAAGCTCATTCACTGGCATCTTCTGTCCTTAACTCTGGAGAGCTGCTGCCAGCTAGTATGCATACTCCAGAGGGAGACAGGCAAATGGTCGGATTCAGTACAGTCAGTCCCCAAATAACAAACAAGATAGGTTCCGTAGATTTGTTCTTAAGTAGAATTTGTTAGTAAGTCAGAACAGGTACACTTTTAAGTGTAACTCCAGCAATATATATATAGAGAGAGAGAGAGAGAGAGAATTTTGGATAGGGAAATTCACTCCTGAAAGAGTTATCATGTGGAAAAGGTGTCTCTACGGACACTTTCTCACTAATCCTTGTTTCCACACCAAGCCAAACTTTTCAGAATCCAATGATCACAGGGACAAAAAGTGAGGTGGAATCTTTTGAACAGGAGTACAGACAGCAAAACAAACTCAAAGGGGTGTCCTGATGCCCCTACTCATCTTCTTCTAAGACAGGGGCCCTCAAACTAAGGCCCACAGGCTGAATGTGGTCCCCCAAGGTCATTTACCCAACCCCCGTCCAAAACTTTGTTGTGTGCCCTAAGTCCAAAACACAGCAACAACAATCCTAATAAATTTGGCTATCTCATCAGCCAAAATCAGGGCCACACTTTCCACTGAAATACTGGTAAGTTTATGTTGGTTAAAATTGTTCCTCATTTTAAATACTGTATTGTTCTTTCATTTTTGTTTGTTTGTTTTCAAACTATAGCCGGCTGCTGCCCCCCCCCCCCCCAACCACCACCACACACAGAGTCTGAAGGATCATTAACTGGCTCTCTGCTTTAAAACTTTGAGGACGCCTGTTCTAGGCCTCCAGGAATTAACTGAATCATTCCGAGTAGAAGCAATGTGGTATGCCCTGGAGCAGATTTACTTTTCAAAGTCTTTTCAGTTAACAAGAAATTCAATAATTTGAAATATAGTAAAATCACAGGATGTTCAACTGTATGTCATCCTGGATTTTAAAGTCACTTTTCATTTTATAATTTCTGTTCACTACTTTCAGAAAAGTCTGTTATGAGAAAAATTTTGAGTACAGTCCTCTGCCTTTCCTAAACTTCACCTGGCTACAATTCTCTCTGTGTAACTCTGTTTTCCCTTTCTCCCTTTCATCTCTGTACTTTTCCTTCCCTAGTTGGCAGCACATCTTCATCACCTGCGCTATTAGGAATTAGAGACCCTCGTTCCGAATATGATAGGACCCAAACTTCTATGCAGTATTACAATAACCAAGGTGATGGGATTGTACATAAAGACATCTATACTGGTAAGGGACCAATGAGATAAAATCTAAAAGTTTTATTCCTACAATATGTGTTTTAATCAGAAAAAAACTAGTATGCACCCAAAACATTGATTTGGATCATACTGAGTGAATATTAATATTATAATTTATCTCAATGACTACTAAGTGCCAATGGATCTCATCCCAATTTTCATAACATTAATATTGGCCATTATTTTTCAAGAACCATATGTTTATCTTGCAAATGCAAGCAAAAACCATTACTTGTGCCTTAGATTAGAACTCAAATTCAGCAGTGGCCAATACTACAAAAAGGGTTTCCTGCCTTCCTCTTTTTACCTTCCTTCTATCAGCATAGAAAGATTAAACATCTGATAATTTTGCAGCTCAACAAATGAAATACATATTTTATTTGAGAAGAAGGTGGCTAGAACTGGGGCTCAGGGAGACTAATATGCCCATTACAAGCATCTCTGGAAAGTCAGTTGGACATGTAGGCCCATGAGGGACAAGGTGCCTCTAGTGGTGATGACTTTTAGAAAATTACTTTGCCTGCAATATATTCCTCTCTGAGCTTTCACTATCATTTAGGTTCCAGTTTTTCCCAATACTCCTGTGTGTGTGCCTTCAAGTCAACAGTTGACCTATGGTGACCCTAAATGGTTTTCTTAGGCAAGAAATAATCAGTTCCTTTCTTCGTAATATAGCCTGCTGTACTTAGTAACGTTGGTGGTCTCTATCATATGAAATTCATGGGGGTTGTCAGAAGCCGACAGGCAACCTGAAGGCACATGCAAGGCTAGTGTAACATGGGAGAGGGTCATATTGCAGGTATGGTAATTTCTAAAAGCCATCATGTATAGTCCCACTACCACTGCGTAAAATTGTCCCCCAGATGGATCTGTGTGTCCAGCTGATTTTCCAGACACCCTTGTAACTATAATATAAGGCTTTCCGGCCTCCACCTCTAGTCCTTTTCCCTGCAGACAGAATATTAGACTCATTTGTTGAATTACTAAATGTTCCTAAATGTATTTCAGTGAAGTATGAAAGTGACTTAGCATAAAGTTCAGTAAGTCAAATACCGGTTTTAATATTCCACTGCCATTTTCCTGTAGGGTCCAGCAAACCTTCGCCAGTTTATATCAGCTCTTATTCATCACCAGCAAGAGACCAAAATAGACGCCTACAGGTAATAATGGAAACCTTAATTTGAAGAATGTGAATACTGATCACAATGATACTGTATTTTTTTAATGATAACTATTAAACGTTTCATTTACTAATGAATGCCTTCCGCCTAAAGTAGCTTTCTAGCAACATACAGTTCCTTTAAATTCCTGCTACACCTGGATTATGACAGCACTCCTACTGAACTGGGAGTTTGGGTGGGAATCTGCCCAATGTGCCTCCACATGAGAAAGCCTCGGCCTTCACACATCAAGGTCTGGAGGGGAATGCTGAGATAAGACAGCTGAATAAACTTAGCAGCCACACCACAATCAAGAAACCTGCCATGTCATGACTTCTGGTTGTGGAGCGGGTTTTAAGCACATTTTCTTGAACATATGGTTCTCTTGTGCTGAACATATGAAAGTTGGAAATGTGTGCATGTGTGGTTTGAGGCATGTTGTGGTCTGAGTGAGGCTTGTGTATGCGCTGCAGATCCTTTGAAGTTCAATCCATACACTTTCCGCAAAGCAGCCAAGTAGCACTATAATTACAATGCAGTTATCCTCCATAAACCTAGTCATTTATGGTTTCAAACACATACATACACAACAGATTTTGGAAGGGATTTTTTAAATTTTTCAATCCCAGAGTCTCTCAGCCAACACAGCTGCTACTTTTTTCAAAGTCCCGAATACACTACACACACACTGACTCATTTTCTTAATTTGTGGTATCATTTTTCCTTTTGCAAGATATGATAGATCAAGGTGGGGGAACCCTCTTGAGGTCCCAATTCATTTGTGTGAAGGTTATTGATACTACCACTCACACCCCTTCACCATCCATTTGTGGTTTCCCAGCTTTTGCACTTGTTTTCCAAATTCTAAAATGTTGAAGGGGTTATTATGTACTGGTATTAAGAGCTTTAAAATAGAATATGTTGGCATTTCAGGCCCAGGCTTTTTCCCTTAGACCCTATCTTAGGAACGTGACCCCCCCCCCCAAAGAACTCTGGTTTTGGCCTCAGGAACAAAGAAGCTGCCAGTACTTGTAATCGGTTATTCTCTTTCTGCCTTTTCTGCTACATCTGCACAAAAGGATATGCCTTTTCTATTTTAACAATCTGCACAATTTGAAATCTATAGTAAACATACAGCACCTTTTGCTGTTTGTCTGAGAAAGCAAAAACAGGAAAAACGTTAAAATACTTGCCTGGCTAATATACACCTGATGAACTTAGCTCACCATTTTGGGCAAAGTGGATTAAAAAAAGAGTCAGTTGGTCAGCTGCATATTTTTTTTAATTAAATCTTATCTCCATGCTAGCTAATCTGTCATTCACTCATTAAAATGAATTAATGGCTTTGCACACAATGCCCAACTTGGACATACATTTGAATTCTTCCTCTCATCAAAATGATTGTAGTATATCAAGCAATAACAACAACAACGTGACTGCTTCAGTTTCACAGGTTTCACTTTGTTTCTGAGTTGCCTGAAGTTACACAAGTTACTAATACAGGATATTGTTTATGCCAATGGGGCTGAACCAAGCAAGGCAGAAAAGTTTGTTAAATCAGAGAAAATAAACACTGCAGGTAACACAAAACAGGAAAGGCCTTTACATTTTACAACATTGAAACATGATGTCGCTAACTACTGAGTACTATATTAATATATTTTACTGATCATATTTCAAGGAATATGTGAGAACACAATGGCGAATATTTTATTGAGATCAAAGATTTGAATTGCACTTTTCTCTTGATGATTTAAAACAGCAATATAAATCATTGCTTATGGGTCACATGCTTGTAGACCGGTTCTCCTCCAGTTGTCTTCAGTGCTCAGAAGTCCTGAAAATATATTTCTGTGTATGGATTTTAAGCAAAGGTCTGAAGAAGCATTTTGGCACCTCGTTCTTTAAAATGTATGATTTCAGCAAACTAACATTCCAAGACATTGGGATCAAGAATATACAAATGCTGGAGAATAATTAAACAAGGACACAGGGTTACACCAAAATGATATGCAAAATACTTCTCTCTGAGAGCTAGAAGTACTATTTGCAAGTCATGCCATATGATAGATGCAAAAGAATTGTTCTCCACAGAGCAACAACTAATTATGAATCCTTAAAGAAGTACAAGTGGATAGAAGCAAAATTAGAAAGTCAATAGCACAACACGATTTGCAATTAGCAGGAGAAGAGAAGAAAAAAAACCCAAAACAAATAACAAACCCATCAACACTGCAAGTGTCCTTACCTGGAGATTGATGAAGTGCCACAGCATGAACAACTTAGGGGGAAATGGGGAAATAAAAAAATTACTTGCATTGCAGGAACTTTATTTTGTGCTCGTCTTTGACCTTGTTCAGATGTTTGACACTAAAGTTAAAAGCAAAAGTGGAAAATGTGTGGGGATTGTGTGGGCCCTATTTGCAGTCCTTTCAATCCCTTTAAACTTCCCTCCACCACATTTTTAGAAAGATGACTGACATATCAGCTACAATTAGTGAAACACCATGGAAGTCACCACAAAAACAAGGTAATTTGGGTCCCCTGGCTCCCCTATCCACAAAGCCAGCCAGACAAACCCAGTGTCATTTGCATCATTTGCAGTTGTGATTATGTAGAAGACACTAGGAAGTCAATTGCTCTTGCACAAATGCCAAGCATGCTTACAAAAATTAGGAAGACATAATTAGATAGAAGATAGAGTCAGATTTCTAAGAGATTTTGGATATAAGCAAAATTGTAGCAATAAGTGAAATTTCACTGAATTATACATGCAAACCTGGTAATATTAATTGTAGAATATTTTATTATTATATACAATCTGTACATACAAAATATGTAGCAATGTGAACTATAACTCATCCCCAGTAAACTATGCCATTTTTATAGTGTGCTCAATTTCATCCTAGGCAGGTTGTATTTTCCATCCACATGCACACATTCCATCAACATCTTGTTTACATAAAGCATGCATATTCCTATTTAAGCTATATTTCTTATCTCCACCAGGATTTTCCCCCAAAATATTTTTCATATTTCTGCAAACCTTGGGATTCCACAATACCACCTTACACCTTCCTCTTTTGAGATAAAGAACCATTCTCAGTAATAATTTAGTGTTTACAAAATCCTCAGGAACATTTCATACATTGCTTTGTGTGAAGTTACAAACATAACAGCAACCAAAGTTTTACAAAGAATATATCACATCACCTAAAAGTTGGCAGAAAAATATAAAGGATCTGAACAAAAGAATCAGAGAAAGGAAGAAACTTAAAAAGAGAGGCTTGATCAATTGATTTCAGTTAATGAAAGATCATGGATATATTTTTCAGCATTTTTTCAGATATATTTTTCAGCATTGCTGAGGTTAATTTAAACAATAGGAATAAATGTAATAGCAAGGAAAAGTTGCCTAATGCATTTGCAATATTCTGGCTACCTAAGCAGGTGGGCAGAGAAATACATTCCCAAAGGAGGAGACAGCAAAAAAAAAAAAAGGTTAGTTAAAATATGGCTTCAAAAACTACAGAAGAAAAATGCCTGTAGTTAATCCTGGATGGGCTTCAGTTGCTTTCTGAAGAACTGAAGATCTTCAGTAGTTCCCACCAGGGATGATAGACAAGGATGTATTTCAGTTCTTGTGATGTGCCTAGCTTTCACATATAACTAACACATTGAGGGTTATGAGAAAAATATGGATAATCACTTGTAAATACTACTATCCATATTGTCTGAGTATAATTCACCATCAATTGAAATAATAATAATTATTATTATTATTATTTATACCCCGCCACCATCTCCCCGAAGGGGACTCAGGGCAGCTAACATGAGGCGAAGCTTAGATACAATACAGCAAAATAAAATACAAAATGCAGACAACAAAAATAAAATCAAAATAAAATACATACAGTAGCAAAATAAAATAAATAAAGCAAATTGGCATAATATAAAATATAAAATGCACATCTCAATTTTGAAGGTGCACATATTTTAAAAAAAGATTTGTTGTTGACTGTCATGCACAGTTTCTTCTTGACTATTGGCCATTTGTCTGCTCTCCTCAGAACAACAGACAAACAAGGGTAAGCTGTGCCTCTCCATCAGGCTTAAGCTGGTGAACTTGCCTCGCCAGCCTCGGCCTGACTGACAGACAGTAGTTTCCTAACTAAGGCCTGATTTACGAGGCCTTCAGAACCAAAGAGGAGGCTTTGAAGGCCTCATGGATGAGGCTGGTTGGGAAGCCGTGTCCCTTGTCAGGCTGAGTCTGGCGAGTGCATAATTCCAATTCGCCGTTGAATCGAATGAGCACCTCACTTTTGGTTATGTAATTTTGTCCAAAAAAGTGAGCATTCAATTTGAGCAAATATGTTATTTCTCCCCTGCCATTGTCAGAACCAAAAGCTTCTTGGAAATATTTCCAGTTTTCTCCTATGGTGTGCCATTTGCGTTGCTTATTCATATTATAACCACATTTGAAATCTTGATGAGCTGTTCCTGTTTAGTTTCTGAAAATAGATTCTACGTGCTTATGAAGATGTCATGTTCAATGGCAACCTTTGTGCTTTCCTTATAAAAGCAAATTCTGATAACAAGGCTCTTGTTATTTGACTTCACAGACAAGTGATTTCCATGGAGACATTTTTATAGTTATACAGCAGGTACAGTTACATGGTATTAATCTGAAAATCCGGTGGTCTTAGAATTATATCTAGTTCTAAAAGAACACTCCTAAAGTCATAGTTTTGAAATGCTTTTGTAAATGTTGTTTTGCTGGGCAGCCCATATTCGCATGAATGGATACTTCACGGCTACATCTGTGCATGGAGGTCTATTGTATAGCTCTTATAAAAACGGAACTAAATTGGGGTGTGCTTCTGTTTGTTTCATTTTCTCAATAGCATCAGCAGTTGTATTACAGCCAAGATGATTCCAGCAGAAAGAACTATGATGCGTACAGGTTATATTTGCAGTCCCCACATAGCTATGAAGACCCATACTTTGATGACCGAGTCCACTTCCCAGCTACAGCTGATTACACAACACAGTATGGACTGAAATCAACCACAAACTATGTAGACTTCTATTCCACCAGGCGACCTTCTTATCGAGCAGAACAATACCCTGGGTCACCCGACTCTTGGGTGTAGCATTAGAAAACCACAAAGAGGAAAACTGTTTCTAACGTTGCTTGAGAAGAGATTGAGTGATGGGCTTGCTGTTTTGAGGGAGAAATGTGAAAGTGAATTACAAAGAAGGAAACCAAGAAAGAGCTCCCCCCACCCTACCCCATGGGAGAGTATTTGGAAGATGGGATTGAATATGGAAAGGGAGAACTTTGCTCTGTTTAGATGTTAGACCTGTAGTCCCTATAGTCTGGTGAAGGTGTGGGCAATGTGACAAAAGGTTTGAGAATTGATGGGGAAATGGATTTGGGAAATGTTTAGGTCAGGTGAAATTACGAATGATTTTTTTTAAAAAATGTGAATAAAAGTCTTGTTCTCATGGTTTGTACAGGAAAAAATGGATGCCCTTCTTGTTTTACTGCTACTACTAAATGTCAAGATTGTATGCTATCATGTCTTGTAAATTTCTTTTTATTTGGTGTAAATATGGAAATGCCACGTTGATTGGAAGTGCCATCATTTGTAATGCTGTGTGTCATTTTAAAACTTGATTTTAAAAATGGACATCTTCTAAAAAGGGGAGAGACTGAGAGAGATTGAAAGGGGACAAAAAACATATGAGGAATCGTTATAAATAAATATCATTTTGTTTTTAAAATGAACGGTGTAATTTTGAAGCACAAACCTCAGTCCAGTATATCTGCATCTTTTTCATTCCCTGCCTCTTTCACAGAATAATTCACTGCCATTTTTAATGCCTATGGGGAAAAAATAAATGTGGATGCCTCATCCATGGAACGCAATTCCCTGCTCATTTTTTTTATTTTCCATGTTTATTGTTAACGAACAAATACAACAGATGTAAATGCTTGTTGTGAGTTGTAAAATAAGGTTAAATATATATCCAAGCATTTGACCACTTTCTCAGTTTTGTGGAGTTCATATCCATGAGTCCAGTATTTTTTACAGTTCATTGTGTTTTCTTCTAAAAATAAGTAAAGAAGCAGAATAAAGTTCATTTCGCTTATTTTTCCCTTTAGTAATCTGTCTAGCAGGCACATATTCCTCTTACTTCATTTATAATGTTTTTTATAAATGAGTATTAATTGATTACATTCATTTTCCTCCTAGCACACTGGTAACAGCTAAACCTTTAAGCCATGGTACAAATTAATTTGGATTTATTAGTTGTTGATCTGTGTCTGTAGCGGAGGTTGTTTCACAAAAAGAACCCACGATTGGCTCTACAGACACTGGGAAGACATAAAGGGATGGAATTATCTGTGTTTCTAAAGGATTAGCAGAAACTGTTCATAATTCCTGCCTGTTTACCTATACTTATTGTTGCTTGAAATCTTGTTTGCAGAATTAATCTATATCATATCCTTAATCAATTGAATAGAAAGTAGCATCCCTGCAGTTCTGGGCAGCCACATTGTCCCGTACCACATTGTTCCCACTTCTGATTGTTAATGTGGCATGTCCCTGACCAGTATGTAAATTGTTTCTATTCTGTGCCTTCAGACCAAGCCATGGTGATTTTGACAAAAGCTCATTTCTGTTAAATAATTTGTTCTCATACTTGGTTATTTCTTCCACATAGTACCACAGGTGCAAAATCTTTCTGTTGTTGCTTTCATGGATACCCAGTCATTGGAGTGGTGCCCTTTGTAAAAGGTCTTAAATTACAAATTACATCTTTACAAAAGGAGTCAAAATTTTGTGGCCCTACAGATGTTGAACCACATCTGGCAGGCATAGCCAATAGTGGAGAGTGCCGGGAGCTGCCATTTGGAGAGGTACAGGGTTCCCACCTTTGGTTGATAATGTGGCATAATGTATTTCTCAACATAGCCCAGAAACGTGCCTGAATTTTCAGCTTCATCAAGAATAACCTGATTCCTTCAGTTCATACTGTTGACTTGTCAGTTTGCATCAAGGAGAAGCAAAGCCATTCAAGGGCTTGCCCTAAAGGACATTTGGGTTTTCTAGACAAGACCTTAAGAATCCTTGTGGAAATCCAAGGTAGGATGAAACCAGAAAAAAAAAACACTAAACGACTTGTATGTGAGGGGCAGGTATGTCTGGAACATGCAAATAGGACAGAGCAGGGCATATTTTCTTTCATTTATCTGCTTGAAATGTCTGTGTACCTATGGGAAGTTCATTGATAAAAGAAACAAAGACACTAAAAAAAATAAAACAAGCAATTCAATCTTGCATTCTTTTAATAAAAGTTTCTGATTGGCGCAAATCAGTAAGATATGGACTAAATTTTAATATACCATAAATATTCATGCATATCTAGAAAATTTAGTCAAAAAATAAGCCCCTGTGCCTTACCACTTACAAAAAAGGAAAATCTCCCCTGAGTAGAGTTATAAAAGGTAAGAACTTAGTCTGTACCAGAAGAACCTAAAAGAAGCAGCAATCAGCTTTACTCTTTCTGGTACGGTACCACTTTTGTCCTTTTTGAATGCCTGGGCAGGAAAATGGCAGGCCAACGCAACATTGGTGCGTTTCCTTCTCTGTAGAATGACTCTTGTCTTATCCTTAGGTCATATCAAAATCTAAAATTTTGACACACACCTCCCCCCCCAACCTGCCCTTTATTTACAAATGAGGTTGACTTGCACATGAGTATAGACAGTACTTATTTACTCATTTTGTTTTCTATTATAACAGTCTCCTTTACTGTTTTAATCGCATTACCAAACATTTGGCTAGCAAAATCAGCACAAGAAATATGGCCAAAATAATCAACTATAAATTGATAAGATGCGGGACAAGCATCTACCTAGATTCATCTCATAGAGGCTATACTGACATTTGTGTGTCAATTTTGTGCTTGTGCTTCTTTTTCATTCTGGGAACTGTTAACTGTATCACTTTAAGACAGTGCTTTTTAACCTGTGGGCTGCAGACCACCAGTGGGACATGAGGATGAAAATCTGGTCCGCAAACCTCCTTCCTCTTTTTTAATTTTATTTTATTTTCCGCTCCTTTCATGCTGCCTGCCACTAATTCCCTGTCGTTGAACAGCCCTGACCTCTTGGATAGACCACATCGATCCTAGATTATTAAATATGGTTTTCTGTGGGTGAGCAGATGGCAACTACTGGATGGCATCTGTCCTGTATCGGAGACTAGAGTTGATGTGGTCTATCCAATGCAGTTTGCTGAATCAGCATCCCAAATAACCAAAACAAATCTAAAGTTGACCAAAAATTGATTTGTAACCTTTTAGTACTAATGTTGGAGAGTGGTCCCTGGTCAAAGTGGTCCCTGGTCAAAAAAAAGGTTGGGAAACACTGATTTAAGATGTCCAGCCACACTGCAAAATTTCTTTCTGTTCTGTTCAGGTGGATTTTAAAAATCTAATTTATACACATGGATCTTTAATTATACAAATGAAATTAAATGGCATGTTTCAATTTACTTCTCTTCAGCATGTTCTGGTTCCCCCACATGCATCTTATTGCAGGAGTACTATTAGGTCAACAAGTTTAATTCATAAGATGTTGACCTCTCCAGTGGGAACAATTATAGACATGAAAAATCATTTTTATTGCTTAGAGCCTCTGGAGTGCGGAAGTGCTCTTTCGAAAAGTAGCGTATAACATGAAAAGGGAGAAGCAATTATTCTCTAATCTCATACTCAAATTCTCTGAGGGGTGTGTATGTAATTTGGGGAGAGTAAGCCAAAATATTTTACCTGATTTTTTAAAGTGTGCTTAGTTAAGCAGCTGTGAGATATTGATACAATATAGAGATACTTGGATGCATATGAGAAACGCATGACAGGGTTAAGGAAAACAATGGAAGTAGCTTTAATGTGTGGTAGAAGCCGCTTTAAATATAAAATCTGGATTATGCACCATAAGTATCGTGCAGAGATCTAGGGTTTGCTGCTGACTGCATTAAAAATCAAATGGTCCTACCAGAACATTTGTTTATGGTATTTAACTTTTATAATTCTTAGGAATTCCATCGAATGAAAAAATGTTTATTGATCCCTACAGTATGTTCATTTTTTTCCCAAATGGAGATCAGGCAAAATTAGGCAATTTGGGTCACAAAGAGAACCAGTTGGTTCAAGCAAGCCGTGTTAGTTCACCAGATAAGAATTTATATTATAATTAGTACAAAACTATTCTAAAACTTCCAGTGCTATGATTATTTTCTATGAACTGTGTAGCTTGATGTTAGGTCAACTGGGATGCAGTCTCGGTTGCTGGAAGGAACCGAGAAGTATGGCTTAAAATTCTGTACCTGTTCTTCTGAGGAAGGACAAATATACAGTTCATGTCATTTTACTGTAAATTTTATCAAAGGTAGAGAAAAGTTGGTCCACTCTATGGTCATATCCTTTCCTGGCCATTCTGACAAGTTGCTATTTTCAATTTGTATCAAAGGATGGAATCTTAAAATCACCCCCAAGTTTGCAATGTTTTTAATTGTCTGGAAAACTAGACCAAAGATGTTAGTAAATTAGTGACTGTATAGGTTCTGTGTGTGTTTGCATAGTTTCCTTTCTGTAAATAGCATCTTGTCAAGACACTAAATAAATCTATAATGACTGCTATTTTAAAAAAGGATAGAACTGAGGGAGGTGCTTGTGTTAAGCAAATACAAATGGAGTTGAAATGATAATGCAGCTACACTCACCATTCCAAAATGTTGTGAAATTTTGTCCTGCTTGTTAAAGGGTTACTGATTTTTCAGTTATCCAGAGTAAGCTTCAGTCTTGTTGTGTGGGGGAAATAGGCAGGTGGCTAAAAAAGAACTGACTTGAATAACCCACTCCTGAAAATACACCTTCCTGCACAATGTGCTTGTATTTTGGATAATAAAGCAGATTTTGGTATTTACATATAGCACTTTTCCTCATTTTTGAACTACTTGACATACATTATCTGGAGATGAAGCAGTATTATGGTCACTCCCATATTTCAGAGGAAAGGCTGAGGCTAAGGGAAGACTTGCTCAGAAGAATCAGTCTATGACATGATAGTTGAATGAGAACTTCCTCGTCCACAGGCCAAGCTAAACTGCTGAGTTCTCCATCATTAGAAGAGGAACACCTTCTGTGCCCAAGCTGGGTAAGTCCTTCATGTGTTCCTTTATCTAAGTTGCAGACTTAACCCATGTCTATTTGGGGTGCGTGGTGGTTCCACTCTTGCAATAAGAGACTCTTATGGCATCATGAATGGGAAACAAAATTATTGTGGCATATATTTTTGTGTTCCAGAGCCCCTTGCTCAGGTCCATGGTGGAAAGCCCTTCCAATATCAAGACTATTCCAAGGAGCTCTAAGCAGTGACCATAGTTATTCCCCAGCTGATTCCCCAGGTCTTATTTAAGCTCAGTGAGTTGCTGTGCAAGAGAATATATATGCTGAATCTGACCATTGGTCCATTTAGGCCAGTGTTGTCTGCACTAATTGCAGTAGTGGCTCTCCACAGTTTCAAGCAGCATTGTTGCCTAGCCTTCCCTGGAAACCTGGATAAATTTCCTATTCAGACACTAACCAGACTTGACCCTGCTTATCTTCTGAAACCAGATGAGATCAGGCTCATTCAGAATTGTCTGCTGGTGCAAAAATAAAAGAACTTTGGACATGATGAGTAAATTGTATTTTTAGTGCCGAGCTGATAGTGAAATCTTTTTGCAATTTTTTCTGTCCGTAGAAAAATGATAAAACTTATTTATTAAAGCGGGATAATGTATTAATGACGTTTTAAAATTTCCATAATAAAATACTTGCTCATTTATAAAGAAATGGTTCACAACACTAATGCCAAAATGGCTTTTGCATGTAGTAAAGATTGCTTCAAACAACCTCAAATGCTTAAATATAAAAGTGTGATTGTTTCTGTCAAAAGTGAGACATTACTGCTGCCTAAAAACATTTCCTAAGTGAAGAGGAGTGTTGCTGTATAAATATTAGAGAGCAATAAATGTCATGGCTGTAAAATTTTCATCCTGGATCAATAATGTTCATGTTGTATCAAATGTTGACATTTACATGTGAACACTAACAGTCCCAAGTGATTATTGTGAATGTCTCCAAACAAAAACATACGAGCGAATGTTGACAGACACTTAAAATATGATTGACAGAATTATTTTGTATGGGGAAGATTGTGTTTTCAGGTACATTCACAAAATTCACTTGGGACTATTAACATTCATAGTCATGAGATTTTCATATTCACTGCAATGTATATGCATTACAGCATATTTAGATGTTTTGATGCTAAAAAATATTTTCCTCAATCCATTGCTTCTTCGGTGAATTAGATAATAACCTAGATGTTGTGAAAAACTGGCAAAAAGTGCAGGTATTTCTCTTTTGTGCTTCTGGAAAATATCAAATGGCAAACTCCAGAGGGTTGTAAACCGGCACCTATCTTTGGTGCCCGCCCATTTCACTGGGTGGGAGCATGGTTTGAACTAGGCTTTAGTTTCTTAGTTTAATTGCATTATTAATATACTATATCTCAAAAGTTTTAGGCAATCTACATTCAAGTCAAAATTCAATAAAAACACACACATTCCTTTGGAACCTCACATTCATGCACACTTTCAAGCATTAGATGAACCTAAGTTGAACCATTCTTCTGTGTCAAAATACCAAAAAGCGTTTGGATTCAGGCTTTTGAGAATCTCTTGGTAAAAAGATTTGGCACAAATGAAGAGGACCTCTCCTTTTGCCTTTATGATGCGAACTTTGCAATAAAAAAGTTACAGTCAGAAGATCTTACACAAATCTTCTATAAGCCATATCCACTCCCGAGACCTCATTTGCACTCAGTAGATTTGGCAGTGCATATATTCCAGTTATACTTCCTAAAAGAAGAGCCCTTTGTGTGCCCTCTTCGAGCTTCTGATAATATATGGTGAAAGAGAATGCCACATTTGACTCCAGTTTAAGCTCACAAGGAAATGTGAAAAACATAGAATGCATTTCTAGTGTTGAGAAACTCTGACAAAAAACAATTCTATACAGATGAAAATATTGGCCATTCAGAAAATGCACATGATGGCTGATATTTGTTTGCACAGACAAGGATTCATTGTTTGCACAGACAATATGTCTTCTGTTCAGAAGACATATAGTCCTGCGCAGAAAACAGTGATTTTTAATACAAAAATAACATGTCTGCGCACACAGAAAATGTTTTCTATGTGGGAAATGTGTTCTGCACAGAAACGTTTTGCATGAAAGACACTAGGTGCATCCAGACAGCCCTTTAAAAGTGTGAGATCCCACATTTTAAAGTGGGGAGTCCAGATGACATCCTACAGAAAAATGAATTCATTTGCCACAAAGCAGGAAAGCCCTGCTTTGTATCAAATTAATTTGTTAGTAGGTTTGTTCCGTGCCTTCTTGGAAGGTGCAGGGCAAGCCCACTATGGCTGCTGTCTGGACTGGCCAATTAGAACTCCTGGGAGTTCTGAAGGGGCCGTCTGCACAGTCGTCTCGTGTTTTCTGGGAGGAATCAAACCTGAGAAACGCGAGAGGGCTCTAACCCCCTCCCCAAAACCCCTTGTTAAAATAAAAGAATTTACCCGGCCTCCCTGGAGCTCTCCTGGCACATAGAAATGACATGCCAGGAGAAAGGGAGGGGAGGAGGAAAATCACTTGAGGCTCTCCTTCTCTTGGCACGTCACTCCTACACACAAGGAGAGCTCTGGCATCACGGAGCCCCCAGTGGCACAATGGGTTAAACCTTTGTACCGGCAGGACTGAAGACCGACAGGTCGTAGGTTCGAACCTGGGGAGAGCACGATGAGCTCCCTCTGTCAGCTCTAGCTCCCCATTCGGGGACATGAAGCCTCCCGAAAGGATGGTAAAATATCAAAGCATCCGGGCGTACCCTGGGCAACGTCCTTGCAGAGGTCAGTTCTCTCACACCAGAAGTGACTTGCAGTTTCTTAAGTTGCTCCTGACACAAAAAAAAAACACGCTAATGGAGGCTGGGTAAGTTCTTTTTAAAAAAGGGGGGGGGTTCTGAGGGGATTGGGAAGGGGTGGGGACTGTCTCCCTGTTCTCTTGGTAGGTACCGGGAGGACATGTAGACTGCACCCGCAGAAAGTGCATGCTTTTTTGGCGGTGTGTGGAGCACAGTCTTTCCCAACCCTGGTTTTTTAAACCGGGGTCGAAGCAGACTTTACTGCTGTATGGAACTACCCACTATTTTCTTTGCAAAATAAAAAAACTCAGATGCATTTTGTTATATATAAGAAATCCTAAACAACAGGAAGTTTTCTCCCAAGGAGGAGGAAAATGGTTAAACTATTTGTTCTTGCCTGCTCTCACCTTATAAAACATATAGAGATCTACATCCCTATTCCAGGTATAGAAGTCCCATTTTTTCCAGGCCGTTCTATTTTCCATTTGCTGAAAAGTGGTTATCCGTAGCAATATTTGAGATAAGTAGCTAGACTTTTTGCTTTAGTCAAAGGCAAAGGTGTTTTGTTTACATATACAGCATTTTCCCCATATTAGATTCCTGCCCTTAATAAATAGATTTATGGGCTGAAACTCATTTTGGCCAACATAAAAGATGCATGGGCGAAGCTATCTGCTTAGTAATTTCACATTTCTGTCTGCTGGGGAACAGGTACACTAGAAATGGAGAGCAGCAGTACAAAAAGGGCAGGGTTTTCTCTTTTAATATAACATGCTTTTCATTTTTAATTTCTCATTTGTTAGCTGAAGTCTGTCTCTCGCATCCACTTTGAACCCACAGTTAAATGTCAATATTTTCCAAGTTGTGAAGGTTTCCAGATCAGTGCAATTCTTATGTGAGCAAATCTTATTTGGTTTCATTGCAGTCTTGTGGAAATTTCCCAAGCTGCCAAACTCAGTAGATCTTTTGTGCTAAAGGGTTCTGCACATGCTTTAAACAATATGAAAAAAGGAGATCATGGTTTTGCTGAAGTCAATGAAGGATATCTTTTTGCTATTATTATTAATATAATGTGGAAAACTGAACTTGTGAGCCAGAAAATGTATTTTTTTATAAAAAGAACAAAATTCCTGGACAAGACACCTTATTGATTTTTGTTGTTTAAATCTTGACTTCTCAACTGGTGGTCAGGGCTGAAATAATTTATTCTACAAAAATTATTACTTTCTGCCCTATCAACGATTCAGCTTATAAATGGATGGCTCATGAGCTACACAACAAAATAATGAGACTTTTTTGCCTTGAAATCTCAATTTAAATTTGACTGCAAAGTGCATGTTGCACAACAATTTCAGATCAGCAGTAAATACAGACCTTGATTAGCAAATTGCTTTCTTCAGCAGTTGAAAACTTTACTACTATGTTGTCAAATAATCCCTCGTTCTTCAAGAAAATGTCAGGAACTGATCCAAAAGTCTGGGCAAGGAGCCAAATGCCATCATACTACAGTTTTTGTACTCTCAAACTTTGAGTTTCATGAATTCTGATATCCAGAATGGCATGGCCTAAGTCTCGTGGCCCAGAGAGTAAAGTGGAAATGCAGGAACTTTTTGTTTGTCTGTCCCCCTCCCCATAATATTAGTATTTGGGATAAAAAAGCTGGTATGAGTAGGGCCATTATCAACTGTAGCAGTAGGGAGATACTGAAATTAAGCGAGAGAGATAAAGGTTGCAACTCACTCGGGTGGGTGGGGGAATCTCTCTACAGCTTGTTACTCATGTGGGGTTTCCTAGCTAGTAAAGCGGATCAGTGTGTGCTGTCATACTATGTTACTGGTATTGTTGTGTGCCTCAAAGTCATTTCCAATGTACAACCCTATCAACAGGGCTTTCTTGGCCAGATTTTTTCAGAGCAGTTTGCCTTTGCCTTCTTCCCCTGAGACAGAGGGTCG